TCAGTGTGCTGGTATAGCTTTGCTCTCTTATTTCCTCCTGTGAATAAATTAAACCAGCAACAGGTTTATACCAGCAACAGGTCAAATAAAATTCTTATAGCTGCCAGTCAAACTTCAATATGACTTAAATTGGGACATTTCAGTTAAGATCCTATTAAACTATAGATTCTGATTCAATAGGTCTGAGCTAGGACCTGAGATTTAACAAGTTCCCAGATGATGCTGAGGGTGTTGTTTCCAGGTTTAAGCTAACTATAGAAAAGAGATTCAAAACATTTACATTTGTCCTAGGTATGTCACAATCCCTTTCATGAATATGTATTAATGGAATGGAACATGTTTGCAATGTGTAGACATAAGCTACAAGGATCTGAGAATAGTTGGGTAAAGAAAACAGGATTGATATATAAATAACTCATGAATAGATAATAACAAGTGATAGGAAAGTATAGTAGTGATATCAAACATGGAAGTTCAATGTATTAAAAAATAAAAAGCACAATCATTTTCCTGACAGAAGTATTTATTTTCACAAATATTTAAAAATACAGCTACCTTTGAGCTACAGAAAGAAAGAGCAGAGTGTTCCTATATTTGGTACAAATATAAAACATAATTCATTTTTAGTTCATTAGCTCAGCTCTGTGAAAATAATTCAGGAAAATAAGTCATAAGTAATGGTGTTGGTATATACAGAAAACCATAATGGACAATGTTGCTTGAGTTCAAACTCCACTTAGAATGGTGGCTAGGCCAAAGAGGCAGATGTAGTAAAAAACCACAGAGTCACCAATAAATTGGACTCAGAAAAACTGAACTGCCAGTGGAAACACACCTAAAACTACTACAACCAGAAAGGTAATGATTATGCAGCTTAGGCCTTGATAACAGGTTAAAAGATTGATGGATTATTGCTCATGTACAAGTCTGAATACAAACATTCAGCATTTTGCCAGAGTGAATTTCCAGAGATTATATGTGCATAGCTATATTTTCCTAAACTGATATTCCCTTTACCCCTTTGTCAGAAATGAAAGCTACAGAGCTTATTCTATTTCTGTATGTCATTGTAAAGAACAATATGCATTAACCTATTTATAGATGCTGTCAATTCTTTGTTAACCCACTTGCAGATACTGTGGATTTTCAAACTTAAGTTATAAATTACAGCTATAAGTTTTGTGGTTAATAACCACAATTTGGAATGAAAATATGCCTCTCTATCAGATAGTTCAATTTTTCTATGGCTAAAGCACACAAATTCATCCACAAATATTTTCAGTGTTCAACCATTTACCACCATATGCTTTCACCAGTTTAAAACAATGCCCCACTCCACCACAACAAATATGTGTATGCACACACATTCAAACTCCAATTTTTTCATATAAAAATCTCCCATTCTTTAAAGAATTATTTTTCTACTGGGTATTAATATAATCTTCATATCTTTGTGTATGAATAATCTTTCCCATTGTATACATTTTATAGAATTTGAGAAAGGAAGTTTTGAAGAATAATTAAAATGGTAATATACATGTATTTAGTTACACAATACTAAAGACAAATACAGGTCAAACTCTTTTCTGATAGCTAAATGCCATGAGATCATTCCTGCATGAAGATGTCAAGATCTCAGTTATAACAAGTTGTGACTACATGATTACAGTCATGATATACAGGAGGTCAATATGTATTTTCTCATCCATTTTGTTTTCATTTCTTTCAAAGTATTGTGGGGGTACAAATGTTTTTGGTTACTAGGATTGCTTTTGTAACACTTGAGTCAGAGTTATAAGTGGGCCTGTTACCCAGATAATGTTCATTGTACCTGTTAGATAGATAGATTTTTGCCCATCTCCTTCTCCACCCTCCCCTGATTGATTTCCATTGGGTTATATTTCCTTCTGTGCCCATGTGTGCTCTTCAGTTAGTTCAAATTCAATAGTGAGTACATGTGGTGTTTGTTTTTTCATTTTTTAGATACTTTACTTAGGATAATGGTCTCTAGTTCCATTCATATTGTTGCAAAAGGCATTAAGCCATTCTTATTCTTGGCTGAGTAGTATTCCATGATATATATATATATAGAGAGAGAGAGAGGGAGAGAGAGAGAGAACACATTTTGTTAATACAGTCATGAATTGATGGGCACTTTGTTTTATTCCACATTTTTGAAATTGTGAATTGTGCTGCAGTAAACATCTATTTAAGAGTTTCAACTTTATATAGCTCAGCCTTCCCTATCTCAAGCATTAAAGAACATTCCTTAATATTTGTCTTAGATGGATGTGTCTACAAATGCCCTAATGCAAAGAGAATGGACTTTCAAATGTCTGGAGTCTTTTTTATTTATTTATTTATTTATTTTAGCATATTATGGAGGTACAAATGTTTAAGTTACATATATTGCCTTTGCCCCACCCAAGTCAGAGCTTCAAGTGTGTCCATCCTCCAGATGGTGGTATATATCCATACCCATTAGGTGTGTATATATCCGTACCCATTAGGTGTGTATACATCCATCCGCTCCTCCCCCCTCCCATCTGCCCAACACTGTACATTATTACTATATGTGCACTTAAGTGTTGATCTGTTAATACCAATTTGATGGTGAATACATGTGGTGCTTCATGTTCCATTCTTGTGATACTTCAATTAGTAGAATGGATTCCAGCTCTGTCCAGGATAATACAAGAGGTGCTGTGTCACGATTGTTTTCTGTGACTGAGTAGAACTCCATGGTATACATATACATATACCACATTTTCTTAATCTACTAATGTGTTGATGGGCACTTGGCTTGTTTCCACCTCTGTGCTATTTTGACTTGTGCTGCTATACACATTCAAGTGCAGATATGTTTTTTATAAGGTGTCTTTTGCTCTTTTGGGTAGATGCTGAGTAATGGGATTGCTGGATCAAATGGTAGTTATACTTGTAGCTCTTTGAGGTGTGTCCATATTGCTTTCCACAGAGATTGAACTAGTTTTCAGTCCCACCAGCAGTGTAAGAGTGTTCCTATCTCTCTGCAACCGTGCCAACATTTACTGTTTTGGGACTTTTTGATCAAGGCCATTCTCACTGTAGATAAGTGCTTTTGTGGTTTTGATTTGCATTTCCCTGATGATTAGAGATGTTGAGTAATTTTTCATATGTTCCTTGGCCATTCTTCTGTCTTCTTTTGAAAAGTTTCTGTTCATTTCCTCTGCTTTTTGATAGGGTTGATTTTTTTTCTTGCTGGTTTTCCTGAGTTCTATATAGATTCTAGTTATTGGCCCTTTATGAATGTGTAACATGCAAACATTTTTTCCCATTCTGTAGGTTGTCTGTTGGCTATTGTGATAGTTTCCTTGGCTGTGCAGAAAGTTTTTAATTTGATCAGGTCCCATTCATTTATTTTTATTGTTATGATTGCCTTTGAGGTCTTCTTCATAAATTCTTTGCCTAGGCCAATGTCTACAAGAGGTTTTCCAACATTTTCTTCTGGAATTCTTATAGTTTCATGCCTTAGGTTTAAATCTGTTATCCACTGGGAGTTGATTTTTGTGAGAGGTGAAAGGTGCAATCTTAACCAAAAAGAACAAATTGAGAAGCATCAATTTACCAGACTTCAAGCTATACTACAAGGCTACAGTAACTAAAATAGCATGTTACTAGCATAAGAACAGAGACATAAACCAACTGAAGAGAACTGAGAACCCAGATATAAAATCATCCTCATGTAGTCATCTAATCTTTGAGAAAGCAGACAAAAACATACACTGGGGAAAAGAATGCTCATTCAGTAGGTGGTGCTGGGAAAATTGGTTAGCCACATATAGAAGACTGGAGTCTTAACCACTTCAGTATGGCGCTCACCGGCCGCGAAATCTTGCCCACAGCTGGCACTCATAGTCTGCACGATAGTTTGTGCTGTGCATTGATGACGAATCCGTTTTGCTCTTGTGTGATGAGGGAAGCTTTAAAGCACTGAAACCTTGTTCTACTTTACAGGAAGCTTTACTTGTAATGTACATCAGAATAGGTAACATATACATGTTTTTATTACGTTAGTTTTAAATGTTCACAATTTTGAGAAATGAAAAATTAGACAAGTCATTTCATGGCTGTCGGCTAAAGTTGCTGTGTACATTCATCTGTGGCTGTCGAGTATAGTCAATTCTCGTACCGAAGTGGTTAATCTTAAATCCCAATATCTTAGAGGGATATTTTTGTCTCCCATTTGAAAGGAAAGGCATTAATCAGTATGCTTCAAGTATCTTCAGAGATTCAAAGGATCCCTACAACCAGGCAGTATCTTGGTTTATGATTTTCAATGGAATTTTCAAGTTACCCTGGTAGGTACCAGGAAGAGGCCAAGTTATTTTTTGTATGCAAACAGGCAAGTTACTACTACTTTGTACTGCATTCTTCTGTAACACACAAGACAAAATGTTTCTTTTTCTATTCCTGAGACTTAGGAGAACTAGTGCTCTCTACAATGAGTAAACCCTATAAGAGAAAGCAGGATTACCCATTAGTGTGTCCCCTTCAGTCTTGAACCCATGTTTTGCTGCTATAAAGGATGAAACCTAAATTGTTTTGCTTTTCCTCCAATCGTATTAAAAAATTAGCCTAGAATAATGTGGTCAAATTGAATTTGGAAATAGTGGATTTTAAAGAAATAAGAATTCAGTGAAATACTTCATAAAATTAGGGTATTTTGTGGCAGAGTAGGAACTAAGATAAAACACAGGAATTTAAGCAAGAATATCTTTCAGAGCAGGGATTACCCAACCTATGGTGACTTGTACAATTATTTCATTATATATTACAATGTAATGAAACAAAGTACACAAAAAATGTAATGCGATTGAATCTGTAAACCATCGATGGAAAAATTATCTTCCATGAAAACTGCCCCTGGTGCCAAAAAGGTAGAGGATTGATGTTTTAAAGGTTGAAACCAGTTTTTCTGAGGTGACTATGAGAGCAAACAACAATTACTCTTCGTAATGTTTCACACGATAATTCCTTTATTATCATTTACATCTCTTAATGCTAGAATAGCATTCTGAGGTTGCCAAGCATAAATTGAAACTGAGTAGAAACACCAAAGTCTACTCAGATTTCCGGAAGAGCTGCAGAATGTGGAAAATGACAGTCTTTAAAAGATAAAGTGTGCTACAAAAGATGTCCATTTGCATGATCTATGGTAAAATATAAGCCCATATTTTTATAAAGTAAGAAAATGGTTATGCCTGCTGTAGAAAGTATTCCATAGGGAAAGAAACTTAAGATAATGGTTATGAGCCAATCATTTTTAAATGTCCTTCAAAATATTTGGTGCTCATACAGTGCTGGGGACTGTCTGTTGCAATGGAACAGGGGACTACTAGGGTGATGATGCCATCCCCTTGCTGAGGAAGACAGGTGTGCGGAGCTTAGGATTTGTTTAGAACATCTCCTCTGCTGGATTTGCCATCAGGGAACGACAACAAAAAAAGTGGTTCATGCTGGAGCGAGTCTGCAGAAACTGAAATCAATTCAATTGTTGAAAAGATGCATTTTAAAAGTTTCTGGGTTTATTCAAAGTATAGATTTTAATAACCTCTTGATAATCCTTTGGAAATGTGTTGCTTAGTACAAAAACAAAAATAGTGCCACCATTTCTTTAAGCGATAAGGTGTGGTTTATAAATTGAAGCACATTAAATCTTCATTTTGTGGGTTGGTATCACCAGAGGTTCTGACAGAGCTGGTGCATAGGCATAAAGACTCATTTGCTCCCTGTAAAGTAGAAGACATGTTATTACTTATCAGAAAGCTGTGGAATAGATACAATAGATGATATTGAAATCATATTAAGATATCATACTTTTTATTATTTAGCCTAGTTTCTCAAGCTGCAGAGAGAAGTTCTCTAATAGACTTCACCCATAAGGCGATGCATATTCCCATTCAAAAAGCAGACATAGATCTGCTCTGGACCAGCACTTCCCCATCCTGTAGACCACCTTCATTTTAAAGGTTTACATTCCATTTTCAAAAAGACCATGGGCTTAGTTTCCCATGAGATAGAGATAATGCATGTAAAATGTTTAGCATGATCCTGGCACGTAGCAGCAGCTCCTGAATTTCTACACGAAACAGCTTAAGGTCACTAGTCTGGAAGTATAGAAAAGAGCTATTGTGAACTTGTGATTGTTGTAGCAAGTATAGTGCTTTTATTTACATTGTGTATTTTGTTTCAGGAGTCTGGAAAAGCAGCGCTGGAGAAAGTGAAAAAGTCTCCCCCACCAATGCCATCCATGATATCTAAAGAAAAGCCTTCGAAGGTCAGTTATTCATTCCTGTTTATGTACAGGGGAGCAAGGGCACTAATAACCAAAGCACAGAGACCTGAACCCCTTTTATGAAAATCTTGTCTATGTTTTACTGTGTAAAGTAAAATTACCATTTTCCCCTTTTCTTGTACTGTTTACATTCAAATTTTGGGTAAAGTCTTTCAGGTCTTCACATTAAACATCTAAGGTACACATCCTGCATTTGAAGAACGTATGACCAGCAGGTCTGCATGCAACAACCCTGTTTTCATTTCACTTCAATATTCTCTTAAATGGCTTACTTTTGTTTTAGGTCTAGCTAGCTTAGACCTAAATTAATTGCTAGCTTCTTTCCCTTTCAATTTCAATATCTTTATCCATTCTAATTATGCAACATTTCTTAGTGGTTTATTATCTGATTTTGAAATAATAGCTATATAATTAGGAAATGAACAAATTAACGTTTGACAAAAGTAATTTGTGGTAACAATTATATCCTTTATTTCCATTCTTTCCCAGAATTAAAGATGTAATTTAGTGATCTGCTTGATAGTCATATATAAGCTACTGCATTACTTGAGCAATATATATTTTATATTTATACATTTTTTTGTGTTCACTTACCTATTTCACTTTTTTTGATCTGCATGCACAATATGAAATCATAAAAGCAACAAACATCACCACACCAACACTGAGTAAGATCATTTCTACAAGGCCAAGGAGGTTTATTTTTCCAGTCACTTGCTTCCTGAACATTTCCGCCTTCTCATCACCAATGGTTCCAGTCTGTAAGTTGATTAACACTTACTCTTATGGACAATTCAATGAAATTCCTCATGCATGTCAAAGGCGGCAATAAATGCCACATGTACTATTTACAGAGTAAAAGATAATTTAAAAGTGATATATAGCAAATACATCAATATACATTAAAAGTGATGATAAATACTCATCATTGGACAGGATGCATTTGGTTCTGAACTACTGCCCAATTATCCAAACCATGTTTCCCAATGACAGAGGGAAATTTACTGTTGTTAATCAATGCAGTGGTTTACACTAAAAATATCTTTTCAGGAAATGGGATAGACTTCCTATGCCTACTCTAACCTAACCATTATATGCATAGTTGGCTTTTATTAGTGCTATAATATTGAGTGTTAATTTACTTGCAGTTGCATGCACCTCTTCCCTGAGACAAGCATTATGACAAGAAAAAGGTTTTTTTAAGGTAATCCTAAATGATAGGAAGTGGCTTTAAAAAAGAAAACCAAGGTCATATTTCTGTATGATTAGTTTCTCTCAAATAGGTATAATCAATAATGTGTAAACTTATGGGCAATGGAAATACACACATAACTTCAAATACTATACAAAGAAGTTTGTTTTAATGACTAGATTAAAATACTAACCTCATTAAGCCACAGAATAGGCACAAGATAGTTCCTCTTTAGACTCTTCAGTGCTCTGTAATAGACATTGAAAGTTGTGAAAATATAAATTTTCACAATTGCCTTTTTCCTTGTTATGAATCATTTAAATTTTAGTCTGTTTCTCAACATTTCTTTTACTTATACAGATTTCTAAATGTACTTTTTTCTGAGTACAAAAATTTACTGTAAATGCTCACATAAAACTCATTTAAATATGTGCAAATATTGTTTCAATAAAAAGTTATCATAAGCAATAAATAATGATTGTTAGTGATCTTAAGCTACAGAAAAGTTGAAATATGATATAGTATTTCCTTGTTAGAACCTAAGTCTGAGTCATATAAAGATAACCTTATTCAAGAGACTCACTCAATTTTTCTTGCTGGCTTCACCAACATGTTGACCTGCAGCCGTTTGGCAAATCGTAAAGTGAATCCAGTTATCTAAAAAGAGAACTAAAATAACTACCAATTTCTTTTTAAAACGTGATTTTCCTGAAATAGTTTTAGAGATCAGGTAGTTAATTCCTGAACTATATATGATCAAATATATATTCAGTCAGAATCCATATATTATTAGTTATACTTGTAGCTATCATTTAAACTTCAAAAGTTAAATGCAATTCTAGAATGTTTCAAAGAATAAAACTACTGTGCTATAACAGAGTATAACAGATCATGCCCTAAATCCCTATAAAATCTTTTAATCCCATATATGATGATTCCTCATATAAGCAGTATCTGTAGTTTAACATAGAATAGTAACATATAAAATTAAAGATAATTAGGGTCATTTTCACTGACACAAAATATGGTTGACAAGTATAAGTAACAAGATTTTTTTCTTTCAGTATCAACCAAAGCAATAATATATTTGCTTACAGGTTCAACATCCAAGTACGTTCTATGTTCTTCTTCATTTGGATTTAAGCCTTCAATAGGTTCTGAAGCATCAGGACTTGCATGTAGAAAATGGGGAAGTGAAATGTACACAGGTCTTCCTGAAGACAAGAGTCAACTGGGGATAAATAACTTTGCTCATTTCACAAATCACTTAGAAAACATTTCCTTGAAAATAAAGATTTTTACATAAAAATACATATATAGCTGGTCTTGGATACTGGGGATAAGGATGGGATAGAAGTGTAACATCAGGTCACTATTTTGCAAAAATAGTTGATATCTGTTCTACATTCCTTATATGTCAATTTTCAATATCTAAAGTTTAGCTGCTGAACAAAACGTTGCAACTAAATATGTTTCAGCAGCAATATGTCTATGGACTAAGAATTTTCATCAACTCCCCATTCAACATGATGAATATGAGCAACCTAAAACAGACTCCAAATTGTGTGTCAAAGTCAATTCTTGCAGAGACATACGGAAAAGGTTAGAGCAATAGCAAATGGATCACTTGGGATGCTCAAAGTATTCTAGAAATTATTTTCCCCTAAATCTAAAAGCAGCACAGGGAAATACTGGTATGTTTTTACCTAATGATGACTAAATTATGCAACACTAAAACAATACAAAATTCACACATTTTCTGTCAGGACCCTTATCTTTTTCCCTGATTGCTTTCTTCTTTAAATTTTGCATTCTGGGTAAAGTTTCCATTTTCAGAAATATTGCAAATTATGTCATGGACTGTGCTACTGTGACTATTTACTCACCTTCTTTGCATTTGCTGATGTCTAGCACACCATAGGATGTACAGTTTTTTGAGATAACTTTTTCTGTGCAGAAACAATGGTTATCTGGGTTTTGAACTGGAGATGCAAAGGCCTTGGATGGAAGAACAAATCTATACACAGGGATTCCTTTCAGATTAATGTCAGATTCAAATATAGCATAGATTGACCTATACACAAATAAAAAAAAAAGCTGTATTCCAGGATTCTGAACTATTAATACATTCTGGAGGTTCATATTTTCCTATATTCTTGCTTTAACTTAGCATTTTAGGTCTTAATTCTCAGGAAAAATGTTCCTATGAAATTTAAACACATATCAGAACTCATACCTGAGTAGGAACTAATATTACCTTTGTTCTCAAAACCATCTAAGCTTATGAACTACCACAGAGTATTTACACCAAAGTCATTTCTCATAGTGAATTTCTGCTACAGATTAAATATTTATGACATTCTTCAAATCCTTTGTGCCCAGTTTAAATGAAATAAAGTTTCTGTCTTTAATGATTTAATCTTGGAGAAGAAATCCATTTGCCTGTTGGGTATGTGCATGCTTGATATATACCTTGTTCACCTCCATCATTTACCGAGTGTCTGCCGTAACCTAGGCAATGTGCTAGGGCTCAATATACATTTCTTCTAATCCCCAGATACCACTATATGAAGAAATACTGCTCTTCAATTTCTCAGATAAGGAAAAAGATTTAGAGAGGTTAAATGCTTGTCCACAATTATAGTTTTTAGGGATACAGCAAGAGCTCAGGTAGAGTGGCAATACATCTGTGGTAATTAGCACCTGGAAGAAAGAGGTATGATTCACCTACATACCTTAGTGTCTTTGTCTTACCTGCAAATGTCAGAGGAAAAGAATTGCAATACCCGGGTCTTCTCGACAAAAGGTGGAAATGAGGCTGCATCTGTTTAAAAGCAAGTCAGTAGCAAGCGATTAGATGTGTTCTAGAAAAATCTAGAAATCTCTATTCCAGTGTGGGCAGTAGAAATATAATGCAAACTGCCTAGATAAATAGCAGCCACACTTTTAAAAGAGCTACATTGAACCTAATATATCCAAAACATACGTTTAACACATAGTTTGTATTTTATACTTATAGCACATTTCAAATCATACTAGCCACATGTCAAGTGCCGTGCAGCTACCATATTCAACAACATCTGCACACTATACACATCACTAGTAAGTATAAAATAAACTTTAATTAATAAAACTGATTTTTTTTGAAATGCTCCACCCCATAAGTAGAGTGATATTATTCTTACTGCAAAGTTCATTTAAAACTCCTGCCATATCCACATTGTTCTTATTTTTAATAGTCATTCAATTATCTGCCCTAAGGGGTGATTAATATTTTTAAAGTCCAGCTTAAATTCCTCATATCACTGTCTTCCTGTTACCTTAACAATTAAAGAAAAATATATTGGAAAACTTTTTAAAAATCATCTGAAATATCATTGAAGAGTATGTCATATTTCTACCCATTAATTATCATGGGCGATGACCACAGGATAGCTGATGTTAGCAGGGCTTTCTTCCCCCCAAAAGAAACATTCTAACTGTATATCAATACTTTCATTTTATGTCTTTTCAAACTCATCACTTCTAACTCATGATGAAAACACATTGGACCCTTGCATTACTCTTTTCCCTGGTGCTGTGACCAAGACTCTCCCACAGGAAACATCCCCTTCCTGTCCAGCCTCCTTTGCTCCTAGTTTGTTTTACTTCTATTTTCCCCTTAGGTATTTTTACCTTCATGCCCAATGCACATGTATTTATATTATTGTCATTAAGCCTCTTATTAAACCTATCTACTTAGCTTTGGGAAAAATTATTTAATGTTTTTTCCCCCTAAGCCATCCTTTACTATTTAGGGGCAGCACAGTATATTTCTGTCTGTATCTAAGGACTAAGTGTTTTATGCTTATGCAACTACTAGAGTTAGTAATACTGAAGACTTGACTATTTCCAGCAATGCTTTACTTAGGAAGGAATTTCTTCATCTACCCTTCGGTAGCTCAAATCCCTACGAAGCAAATCCAGCAGTGCTTTTGCTGTTTTTTTCTATAAGGCAGTGATAGAATTAAATAAGCATGCAAATGTCACTCATGCCTTTGAAAAAGCAAACATTCCCTATGCTTCCTTTTTATTTAATTTTCTTCATCTTTATTTTATCCTTATATGTTATTCTCTCCCCAACCTTGTAAAGTTCATGCTACTGTTTTTGATTGGTGCAAAGCACACTTTTAATTGTAATTCCCTCATGGTATTTGATTTCCATTGCTTTTAAAATTTTAATTCTACATCATAGGCATATGTGTATGTTATTTTTCTTCAAGGAGAATAATGAGCCAGATCTAATCATACCCTAAATCTAAGTTCACAGTTCTTTTTCCTCTGATTCTAATTCAGAATGCTCATTTTTTATAGATTTTATGTGGTTTATAAACATCTAGTCTTTTTTGATTCCGTCTCATTCTGCCCATATTATCCAAAATAGATGGTTCTGTCTTATAATTTCACTGATTCTACCTTGTCTTTAAACCTCACTTAGAAACATTGTAACCGGCTCTATGAACAAATTTCAATGATCCTGTATTTTTTTTATAATCCCCTTCTTCTCATGTTTTAGATTCTCTGTTCTGTAGGGCTTGATAACCAGAACTCTGTAATGATAACTATTTTAACCTTTTTGAGTTGTTTGTCCCAAATTAAAGAATTTCTGCAAGACAAGAGAGTTGAGATTGTGAAGTCTCCTGCATGGACTTTCTGATGCCAAGACTCACCACCCTTCACTAACCTGTCCCAAAAGCATGAAACACCCTCATTATAAAACTTGTACTCTCTCCCACTCAGGAGATGGATTTGAGGCTTCTTCTCCTTCACTTTCTCTCCTGATATTTTTTGCATTACAAATTCCTTTCTTCCTCAGCAATAATTACTGGCTCAGTTATTGGCTTTCTATGCAGCCAGTGACCAGACGTAGGCCAGACCCTTTTTGCATTGGTATCAGTGTGTTTTCTCTTTTGTAATTATCTTGATTTTTTATTCTTTCAATTCTAAGTTGTTGAATAGTAACTACTTTGACTTTTGGGGTTTTTTTTTAACCATTACTTCTGTTGCCAGGATGGCAGTTCATTAAGTAAAGACTTTATAAAGCAAACACTTCCCTAGTAATGCAGTAGGAGCTACTTTTTTATGGTTAATCTTCAGAAATCCCATCACATTAAATAGACTTTGAATTATGTTGTAGAGCTATACACACAGGTAAACATATACCCTCAACTTTCAGAACACGATAGGTATGACAGTGAATTTGAGAGAAGATGAGATAGGTTCATTGTGACTATCACCATAAAACAAATGTCCTTACCTGTACCATTAATCATGTCACAATAACTTGGCCAAAAGGAGAGATTCCTTAGGGAAAAAGAGAAAAAATTCTCATTTCAAGAGCACCCTTCTCACATTACTTTATATATTGTGATTCAATATTTCTACTAAGATCAGATGTGGCAAGTGCTAAGTTTAAGAAATGTTCTAATTCACTCACAGTTCATGCTTTGTTTGAACCTTTCCTCTTATCACAATAAATTAAGTGCCTGATACCATTAGGTGGCTAGGTCATAAAATAAAAACTGCTAAATGTTAAGATAATTAGAAACAACTTGGGATAAAAATAAAGTTCAAAAACATTTATAAGAAACTTAGATCTGTACTTAGAGTTTTCTCCCCCAATGGGAGACACGAATCAGTAGTATGAGACTAGAAGAAAAGTGTTAAGTGGGTTAATGTAAGCTCAGTATAAGGTAGAACAAGGAAGTGGGAAGGAAGGAAGAAAGCAGAAATTTGGATCAATTCAGATTATCAAAATGTTTTCAATCAACCAGTGTATATATTCTCCCTTTAAATTCTTGCATGTGCTGGCATTACAGTAGGATAGATTTTATTAGTTATGCTCTGGTATATAAATAAGCTGTATCTATCTAGAAGTGAAAAAAAATAGTAAATATCTCCCTGAATCTCCAGCCACTTTTTATGATGGGAAACAATTTTTTTCCACTACCACTATTATCCAGTACAATGTCAACACAAGCTGTTCCTTATGTTTTAAACAGAATAAGCTGTTAATCATGCTAAGTCTTGCCATGATGACTGAAATCTACCTTATCGTAATTTCATAGCGATGTAAAATTCTTACTCTAATTAAAAGTGCTTACTAACTCCCCTTAAGACCTCTATAGTATTGAAATGTAGTGAAATCCTCAATATAAAAAGTTGATGTGATTTCCTTTGAAATAAACACTTAGAACTGTGTTTTTCTCCACTTGACTTTTCTATAAAAATAAGTAACTATAGACTCTTTAGAACAAAAAGTACTCCACTAGTTAATATTTAACTCTTACATGCAATTATTAAAGACTGGAAAAAAAAAGACTCAGCTTGAGACAGTGGTTACTTATATTAATAAAAACATTTCATCTCTTTCAGTTTTGATCATCCTTTTTCAGGAAGTAATGGTTCTAAAGGACAATTATTAACTTTAAAGAAAAGGCTTTCTCCCCTGATACTAGGGTCCTTCCTATTTTACACATATGATAGATTATTAATACTTCAGATCAATAGGCAGAACTAGAAAGGAAAGGAAATAATGGCTTTGTGAAGCTCTCTTGTTCTTTCACCAATTTAAAGGTGGCATATTCTTTATTTACACATTTCATATGTAAATTTTAGAATTTTACTTGAAATCCTAATTCCATTTTTGCATTAATATAAAAGCAGAATTATCAATATAGAAAATTATATTAAGACTGTTTGCAGGGGGAAGTCATGAAAACAATCACATGGAGTCATTACAGTTCCACTTTATAGACACATTTAGGTCATGTCACTGGCATACACAATGTTATTGGATATACTCCATTACAAAAGTCAATGAACCAAATATGTTTCTGTCTCCTAGACAGTCAGTTGATTTTCTTCCTTTTCATTTGTGATTATCTAATTGCACGGTCTACTGTGATGCTGGATATGCAGCAAGGATGAAAATAGTCCCTTTGGATGTGTCCATAAAGCCAAACCAAACCCTAAACTGGAGCTGATAGTCAGCAGCTGTGCACTGGTGTGAACATGCCGGTTGCCACAACTAAAGGATTGATGCCATTCGGAACAAGAGTTTCTAGGGCTGAGATATAGCAAGTTGGTTCCATAGGTTGATGCCTGTACTTTACCTGTTGTGAAACAAATACCACTCCTGCCTTGGAGTACGCTAGTAACTGCACATACGTGCACACACACACGCTATACCCAGATACTTACTTTTTACCTTTGTAAGTGTCAATTATGGCAACGTTGCTTATGTTATCTTTTCCATTGAAAACTTTATAAACTCCATCTGCAGTGTTGTTGTACTGAAAAGACAGGTTCAAGAAAAAAATTGCTTGTAAAACAAATCATATTTTTCAACTTATAAAATATGTAATTAACTCACTTTGCCATTTCCCAAACTCCGGTTATTCATAATTATTTTATATAACTTGAAATATATATGCAATAAGGTTTTTAAATTATTGACCTTTAAAATGTTGTAAAGGATAGACTATAAAAAGGTTCCTAGAAGTACGTGCTAAATGCTGAAATAAACATCAGAAATTGACATGATCCAAACTCCAGCATGCTTCGTCACAATTAAGCCAATAATGCCATTTTGATCATGTCTCCTGTTATACTGAAGTGAGAGTAAATGGAACAGACCCTAGAATAACAATGATTTGTACAGTTATTCTAAATGTTGTGATCTGTAAGTAGCTACTAAAATGATAGAAATTAGGCATATAAAATTAAAATTTAGTCAAGGAAAGAGTTGTGAGTACTGAGTTAAAATAATTACTGAATCTCTGATTCCTGAAGGCTTTCTACATTTATATTGATATATAACCTAGCAATTCTAAACATTATCTAAAAGTAAAATAATAACAATGAACTAGAGAATATAACTAATATTTATGTATAGTGCCAAATGAAATCATAGTAAAAATTCCCATTCAATAGTCAACTTATTCCATTTGTAATCCAAAACATTAAGCTGTAAATAAGTGAACCCTCAAGTTCACATTTTCCTTAATCTTAAAACTGCCATTTCATGACGTTTGTGGAGTACCAGAAATTCTTGCTTACAGTCCCATTAAAATGAGGCCTATTGACTGCTCAGTCTCATTGAGATGTGCAAATTTAGGCTAACATTTTAATATAAACCAAGACAAATTTGTAAAAGGTCTAGAGAAGAAGAAATGATAGCATGGATACATTTAATACATACACAAAAATATGGTATTTAACTTGATTATGCAAGAAGGTTAATCAAAACCAAAAATAGTGTTCAAAGATTTACATACTAGCTTACAATTTCAGACAAATTATACATTTATAAAAGAGAAGAAACCTGATTATATCTCAGTTTTTAAATTTTAATTGCTTAATTCAGATGAGTTTTCTAACTAGGAAAAGTTAAGCCATATGAGATGGAGACTTTTTTAAAAATTTAGGATATATATCAGATATCTCCAGATGAGCAGTAGGGCTAATACACTAAATTATGAAATTATGCCTTGCCAATGCCATTCTATTGATCTAATTAGAAGACAACAATATCACCATTCATATTTGGTACTTACAGGATAAAACAGACCAACTGTGGTAGGAATATTGTATGGAACCAAAGTCAAAAATGGATCCTTATAGCCCCATAACAGTTCTTTCAAAGTTCTGGTTTGGAACATAGAAGATTTTGACTTTTTGATAAGTGAATTGAGTACTGACTGAACAAATGCATTTTGATAGATATGGGCTGCAGCCTACAAAAACAAAATCACCATTTAAGATACCAATACAATATCAAATTTTAACAAATAAATGGATTAAATACTAAAATTGAGTTTAATAAAAATTTTACAACCAAATCTTTAAAATTATTGCTAAATCCTGCCAAAACTTAAAATGTAATTTGTCTAATACCTACATGATTACATGTGTCTGCCTCAATGCCAGCTACAAGAAGACATTCCAAGTCCTATTTTTTCACTGCTACAGTTTAACTGGTCTTCAAATTGAATTGACTATGTTATGATTTTGTCATCTTTCCAAATGCCTATAACACCATTCAAACTGACGTAGGAACACATTTTTATAAAAATGGCCAAATAACGCCTACAAATAATTCTAATGATGAAATTAAGTATAGTGGATTCTAGAGTATTTTAAAACAAGTAACTTTGTGGTTTGTCTACTCACGGCTACAGCCAGATTGAGAACTGTGAAAGTGTCATTCTCTGTTCCAACTGACAGTGAAGGTTCAAAGATGGCACCATTGGGCTGCACGAAAGAGACTGTGTGGTCCTCAGGGTCCTGCGTTATGTTATCCTTGGCTAGGTAACGAACTCTGGAGAAAACAGAACGAAAGTCAAAAACTTTGGCTTATGCAGATATTAGATCTCCAATGCCATTCATTAATTCAACACATATTTGAACACACAGACTATGCCAGATATTGTGCTAAACAATGGGGTTAACTAAGCCAGTGCTGGGTCTTTAGCAGACAAACCAAAAGGGGTCTTAAACTTGCAAACAGGAAATTAAAATAGCAGAGGAGAAGTGATATGCGTTAAAATGGGAGTTTACACAGAGTCCATGGGAAAGCACAGAATGCGTACAAATCCACGTTTGAAGTGATCATGGTGGAGAGGAGAGCCAAGACAAAATTTGTAGCTATTCCACTTAAGTGGTCTAAATAACAAAGAGAAGTTAATTAGGTAAAGTAGGGTGGACAGTGTCATGTGTAGGATAAGAAGAACAATATACATTTGGGGGAATGCAACTGTTTGAGTGCGATTGGATCACTGAGTGAGAAGGAGAGTTGTGTAAAATATAGATCTCAAACATGAAAAGGTCATATCCCATACTCAAATGACAGACTTTATCTTGAGGGTAAGGAAGAAAAAGTGGAGAAGCTTAAGCAGGGCAATATTAAGAGCACATTTTCTTACATGAGAAAAAGACCCTCAAAGTACATAGCCTATCCAGTGCTGGCTCTTCTATCTTTATCAGTACTTTAATGAGAATTAGAATATAATTTTATTTTTAAGGGCTACAGACCAACCCTTCCCTCCCCACACATTGAATACATATTAGTTCTAGGCTTCTGGCTCTAACATCTCCATGCTGCAAAGTGCCAACTACATTTTAGGAATGTGGTAAATTGTGATTAATATGGAGAAAAAGATCTTGTAGGTACAAAGTATTCACATAGAAGTAATAAGGTATTCATTATCATTGTGCTAGCATATATTTGAACATCAGTTATGCAAGATGAATAGCTAACGCAAAGACTCAAAAAATGACTGAAATTTAAAGAAACACATTTTATTAAACTATAGTAAAAATGTAAATTACTCTAAGGTGGGGATTATGAGTGTTTTCTATCTCTACACACAGTGCCTTGGACATAATGAGTTCTCAATAAATATTTTTCATAAATGCATTAGTGGCTGATTCTTTACAATAGGCTTCAAAATTAGGTAGAAATATATTTTATTTTTAATATAATTACATTAAAATATCATCATTAACTCTCACTGAAGTACTGTAGACATACAAAGAATACAAAAATCTGAAACAGCACCCAGGATAATTACAAGAAATGCCTTCTCTCTAAAATAACTATTTAAAAAATGGAGTACATATTGTTAACATTTAAAATTGAAGTATTTTAATTTTCAGGAATATTTGTGTATATATTAAAATAATAGCAAATTAGCGGTGACCCAAATTCTAGAGCTTACCTAAAGTATACTTACAATATTGAACCAGTAGATGGCGCTCACTAAGAGAAAATCCTTACAACTAAGCCCTAACTTTAGATTGTACTTTTAAAAAGAACATAATTACTTTTCTGTTGCTTAAAAATTACATTGTATACAAGTTTGGGGAAGTGTTGGTTAGTAATTTCAAGGAGGGTAATTTTCCTAGAGTTTTCCCAAGATTGCTTTCTTTGTATTCCTTCCAAAGCAAAGTAACTTAAAAATGATTTATATCTGAGAATATTTTGAAGGCATCACAATGTCTTCATAAAGACGGTGCAGGTTAGATATGTAATATATGTAAGATCTCAATCTAGGAATGGATTTCATAGCTTCTTGCATGTCTTAGCTTCTCAAGGTTTTATCAAACTCACTTTAGCAGCCATCGCCGAAATAAAGCCTGAGATTCTGTTGGAGCAGGGACATCTTACACTCTTAATGCTAACTGGAGTTAGGTTACAATTAACTATGAGGAAGTTTAGCTCAACACATATAAGGCTATCTAATTATTAACTTTTTTCTAAAAGCTAACCAGTTTTCACATTATTTAAGACATTCAGACAAACAAAACGACTCCATTTGGTGACAACATAGGACAAGATGACTTCTAGTTGGTTAGGAATCTCTTTAAAATTGTTATATAAAGACGAGTTCATTGTTTATAAAATGCAGCTGTAAATGCAACTCCTCTTCTCTCACCCTTCTTCCATCACCTTCCTAAGCAAATCAAGTATACCTAATGAACTTTCTTTTTGTCCCTTAGGTAGCTTAAAGGCTCTAAGAATAGATATTAGTTGTCAAATATCAGAGGAGAACTAGGTTAAATAATTTTATGTTTATATTCCCTCATATCCCAAATAATATCCTTAAAATAAAAAACCTCCCCAAAACAATTTTTAAACGCCTAGAAAACATGAGTCCTTAAATTCTAAAAGCCATTTCTTCCTCATACTTATTCATTCAGTTTCTACTTTTTATAAAGAATTATGCTCAGATTCTCATTAAGTCACATGAATTCTAGATTTTTGTAAGTACATATACCTATAACATTCTTTTGAAACAAAATATTTGCATAGGTTTTTGCTAAGAATATAAGAACTCAAAGTCCATGAAAAAAACATTTTCTAAAGTAAGACTTTTCTTATAACAATGAAAACTAAGTTTTCTTTGATAAAGTTCTGAATAGTCCTACACATGGGCAAAGAGACAGGAGACTTTGGGAAAATTGCTAAGGCAGGATAGGCACCAAGGCCCTCTGCAGCTTATATATCACATGCTATGGTAGGAGGCACTATCTGCACATGACTACTGTTATGTCATTATATTTTGGGTGTGAATCTAGAAACATATTGATGCCAATCTAGAAACATATTGATGCCTTGGAGGGGAAGGAAAATTATACAATCATAAAATATCAAAAAAAGATAAGATACTAAAAGTATGAATTATAAATCATTACAAATATAAAATTTTGTGATAACAATTAATCATGGTATATAACTAGTTGTAATGAATTGTTCTTGAAGGAGAATACACATTTGTATAACAAATGAGATAAAAGGACTTAAGTAGGTTCCATACAGATATCATAAATATATCCATAATCCTTGGTTAAGTTAGTGTTTTAGCAACTTAATCTCCCTTTTACTTTAGAAAATACATAGTCTATAATTTAAATAGAAAATGTATGAAAAAATGTATGAAAATGTATGTACCATTTCCTACATTTGTGTGAGCATGAACAAGTCAATTTATATCCAATAGTATAAGGTATTACTTATTTACAAAATGAAAGATTCTGGCTAATCATTTCTTCTAGTTCTGATAGTCTAAGATTCTGTTCAAGACAGTGTTAAACTATCAGGTAATGTAAACTAAAGGTAGTGAATAGTCAGTCTCAGTACTAGAGAAAACAGAGGAATGACACTATGAGATATATGTACACATCTATATGATCTGGATATTATTTCGAATATAAATCCATACCACAGTTATGTAAAAATAAGTTTAGTGCCATGGTTTTCAAAATTGAGTGTGTATGGAATCACCCAGAGGGTTTTAAAACTCATTAGTGAGCCCCAACTTAGGAGTCTCCAATTCACTTGGTCTGGGGTGGGGTCCGAGACTTTTCATGTCTACTAAGTTCCCTGGTGATGCTGATGCTGCTGGTCTAGGAGCCACACTTTAAAAACCACTAATATAATGTATGCATTTAATTTTAAGATGTTAAAAGACTGAAAAATATTTTCCCTGTTCAACATGCATATTTCAGAGTTGAGTATATATGCCACAAGTGCCAAACACTTACATAACTTCATAAACATACAGATGTTATTTGATGCTAATAAATTAACAATCTGTATTTGTTTTCTATCTACTGTCAAATATTTGGGTAATGTATATATCTATTAAAAATAAATGTCTTCTAATCATTAAATCCTTAGATTAAGACTCTACTACACGGGTAGGAAATATATTTCAAGGTATATTACCGGCAAGAAAATAAGAAATGCATTTCAGTGCAATGGCATTCATCAAGTGGAAGCCTTCTCAAAAATACATATGTTCAAGGCACTTATGTTCAATCTGCCACTTATCTGTGGGACTCACCTGTACGTGTAAGGACCTCTTTGCTTAACTTTAATGTTGCTGCTGTTCACCATCACTTCCTGTGGATTTTGCACATCGTAGATCCAAAACTGTCTGTAAACATCCGTGCCTGTTTTAACCCAATTTTTAAAAGCAATTGTACCTTCTTCAAGGACAACTTCCTATGAAAACGAAAACATGTTAGGGTTGTTTCTTTGTAGTAAATACAGGCACTTAAGAGTTTGTTTATAACTTTTAGACAGCCAGAATAAAGGACCAAGCTCAAGTACCTCATTCACGAAAACCTTTCCAACCTTATCGCACACTTGCATAAATGTTCTCAGCAGATTTTTATAGTAACCTCTTTTAGCTAACATTTTACAAGGAGAATCAGTGTGTAATACTGAAGACATGGCTGTTTATTTTAAGGCAAACCATTGGCAAGCTTTAAAGTGCTCCTTTGGTAATGTTGTAATAGTAACACAATTTATTAAGCCAGTTTTATTAAAGCTGTTCCAAAAAGTTCTTATCAGGTTGAATGTTAACTTCTGTTTTGCTCCTAAGTGAGTTGCATTGATGAGGCAAAACAGAAAAATTGAGAGAAAAATCTAGAGGTATTGGAAACTTCCCTTTTCTTCAAGAGTTGGACACTTCAGAAGATAATGGCATTTACATTAAAAAAATAAATATATCTGAAGAACAAAACACAAATTTGAATTTTTACCTTCAAAACCCTACTCAATCGCTTCCCTAACTCTCAATATATTTGTAACAACCTGTTATTAACATGTTCCCCAAAATTATAACAGCCTAATTTGTAATTATTGGGTTACTACTACTTTTTAAAGAAAAGGACAAGATAAGGAAGCTGCCCTGTTATTCCTTTATGAAATCCATTAAAAACACTGATTCCCCTTGTACTGAAACTATACCAATGAAAGAATTAAAAACCCTATATAAGGAATCTGATTCTTTACTTTAGGACCAAGTGGGAAGTCACCAAACTTCTCAGGGTCAATTTCATGATCTGTAACATGAGTGAGTTACCACAGATGTTCTCCCAGTTTCCTTCCATGGCTCTCAGTCTGAGCTGGAAGACTGTGGAGCTATGGTAACTAGTGCAAACAAAGGTGACTTTGTGGCAGGCAATATTTCCAAATAAGTGCCTTGGGAAGAATGACAAGGTTTAAAGAGCTCCAGCTTAACCTTTGTGTGTTAGAGGAAGAGGAAGAAAGCCACTTTCATAGAAAATGACCTATTTATTTCCTTCACCTGGAAGCATCATTTCATAGAATGATGGATCAGGAAAGGACATTGAATATTGTCGCATTTTGTAGTAAAGCACGCTGAGGCTCTGAGAAACCAGGTGGAGATCCTAAGGGTGGCCTAGGCAAATAGTAGTGGAATCATAATGAAAATCCTTGTCTCCGACCCTTAGACTAGTGCTCTTTGACACCATGCTATTACTGTCTCTTTTTTCCTTTGTCACCCTCTACATGTAGTTGGTAGAATTTAGTTTTATATTTTCGGGATATTTTACCTATTGCTTAATGCAGAGAATAAGGGAATTCCTTAGAGAAGAACTCAGACTAAGTTAAAATGGAATTACAAAACCCTGTGCTGTTGCAATCCACTTACACAGTGTACATTGGACCTGCCAGAGTGATCTTGGAACCTCTTACTTTCTGCAAAAAAAATTGTCCTCAAAAAACATTTTACTTGCCCTCAAGGGCTTATTTCCACACTAACAATTTGGCATTAAGACCAAATTGCTTAAAGTATTATGGCTATTCTTCCAAGTACAAACTGTTTGATGATGATGTTGAAACTGAAAGCTATATAGTAGCTGAAAACTGATAATTTACCCCTTCCAACAGACTTTATGAAAGGAAAACACACACACACACACACACACACACACACACATTATTATTCTCACAGTATAAGAATCTTAAGGATCAATGCAATATCTTTATTAATAAAGTGCCTCTCAAAGTACATATTTTATTTCAGTTCTTAATGAAAGGAACTCAATAAATTCTTATAGAATTGAAAGTATCTATGATAGCATATGCTTGACAGGACAGAATGCCTTACTAATGTGTATGCACCTAAATACCAAAAGACATAGTAAGTGTATTATGCCTTTATTCTAAACCCTTAAATCACTTTTCCATTTAAAAAAAAATATCCATACAAATAAGGCAAAGTTGAAACACAAAGAGTTGAAATGAATGCACTGGATTATTAATTGTTAGAATCTAGACCATTGAACCCCATCCATTTTTTCAGAGGTAGAAAATAGGTTCTTGAGAAAAAGAGATGTCTGAGTCAATGTTACATGACAAATTTAGTAGGAAATAATGGGGAGATCAGGTCTTCTCACTTTAATTTTATGTAACTTCCATAACATCATGATTAGTTCAGAGACAAGAAATATTAAAGTAGTCAAAATATGAATGCAATACTTCTGATGTTAACACTATGGTATGTATTCGAAAATTGTATAACCACTCCTTGAGTACCAAGACTAAACATGTTGCAAGTTCTTCTGATTTTAAAAGAAGCAAAAGATCTTATGTCCTTTCGAAATTTAAAAGGGCTGGATTCTACAAAGACTCAAGTGAATCCACAAGAAAATACCAAAAAACAAACATAAAAAAACATTAAAAATTGGGCAAAAAACATGAATGGAAACTTCTCAAAAGAAGACAGACTAATGGCCAATAACCATATGAAAAAATGCTCCACATCTCTAATCATCAGGGAATTGCAAATCAAAACCACAAAGAGATATCACCTAACTCCAGTGAGAATGACTTTTATCAAAAAGTCCCAAAACAACAGATGCTGGCATGGATATAGAGAGAAAGGAAGCACTGTTGGTGGGACTGTAAACTAGTACAACCATAGGGAAAGTGGTAGGGAGATAACTAAAGGAACTGAAAGTAGACCTACCATTGGATCAAGCAATCCCACTACTGGATATTTACCCAAAGGAAAAAAAGATATTTTAAAAAAGAGACACTTGCACTCAAATGTTTATAGCAGCACAATTCACAATCACAAAGATGTGGAAACAACCCAAGTGCCTATCAATACATAAGTGGATTAATAAAATGCGGTATATGTATACAATGGATTACTCAGGCATAAAAAGAAATGGTGAACTAATGCCTTTTGTAACAACCTGGATGGAACTGGTTTTCCATCCTTTTAAGTGAAGTATCACAAGAATGGAAAAAAACACCACATGAACTCAATACTAAATTAGAACTAATGGATCAACATACATTTGCACATATGGTAGTAAAATTCAACAGAAATCAAGCAGGTGGGGAGGGAGGAGGGGATGGATGAATTCACACCTCACAATGCACACTATTGAGGTGACGGACATGCTTATAACTTTGATTCAATCTGTACAAAAGCAATTCACATATCCAAAATGTGTGTGCCCCTGTAATATTCTGAAATTTAAAAAATAAAAGGGCTTGATTTTAAATTGGACTTGGACTATCTAGCCTATTTTGCAAATATGTCAGTAAGTTTGAAGTACAATGGTGATAATTACATGTACAGAAAAAGAGATGTAATTTAAGATCCTCTTAATGTATAAGTCAGTATCTATCCCTGACATTAAATATGCAAACTATCTAGCCTCGGTAACAGCTGGATTCCAACCCAGTGACTCTCATATAGCATGGTCTACAGGTCTAACCTTGAAACTTCTATTCTGCTATGTTAATTTGAAAAAAGATGCTTATGATAGTATCTTCTATATAGACAGATACTCTCTTATTACTATGGCATGAAAACAGTAGCCATCTACATGACTAGCAACTTAAGTGTAATTATTTAAAATGGCCTCAATATCTTACTGTGCATGGCGGAGGTAGAGTACAAATGTAGAAATAGTGTCTCATTTCTCAAGGACCTTATAAAGTACCACCAAGAGACAGAATCATGCTTTGCAGTTTTAATCTATGAGTCAGATTCTCTTACCTTATCCCCACCCTAACAAATTGTAGTGGCTTCTTCCCTAAAGCACAGAGTGAAGTAGTTGCCAATGAAATTTAATGCTATCAATTTGATCTCCAGTTTGGTCGCTTAATAATTATTTGTGAACAGGTTACTTAATTTCTTTGTACCACAGTTTCTTTATCTGTGAAATGAGGATAATAGTAGTAATATAAACTAGATATTTTTGAAAGTAAAAAATAGTTGAATTTTAGCATTTTCATAAGGTTTAATTAAATATTTATCCTGATAGGTTGTTATAACAAAGCTGTAGTAATTAAATCAATCTGGTATTGGCACAAAAATAGGAATATTGACCAGTGGAACAGCTCTGAGAATCCTGATATAGATAACAAGAACATCCTCATATAGCCATCTGATCTTTGACAAAGCAGACAAAAACATATGCTGGGAAACAATCCCTTTTCAATAAATGGTGCTGGGAAAACTGGATAGCCACTTGTAGAAGGCTAAAGCAGGACCCACACCTTTCACCTCTCACAAAAATCAACCCGTGCTGGATAACAGACTTAAACCTAAGGTATGAAACTATCAGAATTCTAGAGGAAAATGTTGGAAACACTGTCCTAGACATTGGCCTAGGCAAAGAATTTATGAAGAAGTCCCCAAAGGCAATCACAGCAGCAACAAAAATAAATAAATGGGACATGATCAAACTACAAAGCTTCTGCACAGCCAAAGAAATAGTCATGAAAGTAAACAGACAACCTACAGAATGGGAGAAAATTTTGCATCCTATGCATCGCAATAAGGGACTGATAACTAGATATACTTAGAACTCACTGAAAACAGAAGGAAAAATCAAATAACCCATTAAAAAGTGGGCAAAGGACTTGAACAGAAACTTTCTAAAGAGAGCAGAGAGAATGGCCAACAAACATATGAAAAATGCCCACGTCTCTAATCATCAGGGAAATGCAAATCAAAACTACAATGAGATATCACTTAACTCCAGTGAGATGGCCTTTATCAAAAAGTCTCCAAACAATAGATGCTGGCATGGATGTGGAGAGAGAGGAACACTCCTACACTGCTGGTGGGACTGCAAACTAGTTCAACCTCTGTGGAAAGCAATATGGAGATATCTTAAAGTGATACAAGTGAATCTACCATTTGATCCAGCAATCCCATTGCTGGGCAT